CCCCAAAACCCCAAAACCCCAAAACCCCATGATTACAACTTTAATGTAAAGCTGAGAATAGAAATAAATATTAAAGATTAATTTATAGAAGTAATGAAACGACAATAAACTATGAAAACAAGCAAAGAAAATAAAGCTTAGGAAGTCTTATACGCTGCTGAAGAGTTTTAAACTAAAGCAACAATTTCTGAGACTATAGAATTAAAGTTTTTTCAATGTGAAACAAGATTAAGGGAAATACTATCTCAACTGGTACAACCAGCAATATCATAGGCTAAATTAGCATTTGATACAAGCACTTTCATTTAGCAAGAGGTTTAAAAGATCTCTGGTTGAACTGAAAAATTAGAACTAAATGCTAAGAAGTTCTCAGGTCTTAGCAAGAAATTAGAAGAGTCTAATAGGCATTTAAGTCAGATAGAGAGTAATGTGAATCTCACAGATATCAAGTTATCAAATTAGATTGAGCAGCTTAGTTTCAAAATGGATTAAACACTGAGTCACATTAATACATTCAAGGATGAGTCCTAGAAGATTTAGTAGAAGATTGAGACATTTAACATTAACATAAGCAAGTGCTATGAGGACATCTTAGAATTTAAAGATCATATGGGTGATCTCATCACCAGTTTTAAGATTGAAGTATATGTAAACTAGGAGACGATACTGAAAGATTTATTGAATTTACAAGAATAGAAAAAGACTAATTCCTTTGATGTAGAGAAAAACAGGTAACTACTCGAGAAGTTTGATTTGAAGTTAGAGTAATACAAAAGTGAACTAACGAATAAAATGGAATCTTTTAACCCCTTAGACTTTAATTTGATGGAGAAAGACTTCTTTAATTAGGAGATGTAAAAAACTTATAATTTCATTAGAGAAAGATGCCAAGATTTAGCTTCACAAGTGAGACACTTAGAAAAATTTGTAAATGTTGTCGAATCAATGTAAGATAAGTCTGAGTTACCCTAAAATGATAAAATACTAGAAGATGAAAAAAGTGCTCTATAAGATGTATAAAATGATATAGGAGCATCCAATATACCACCTTAAATTTCTTAAAAAACAATCATATAAAGAGAAATTATGACTTAGTAGAGTAATTACAACAATACTACCTAAAAAAAGGCATTTTTCAAATCTTAAGATGATTTCTATGATGGTAAAATAAGTGTGTAAAATAGAAAAAACTCAAACATATACTCTTAGCAAAATCAATTAATGGGTAGTGTCTATAATAAATGAATATTTTGTTTGATAAATAAATAAAATTCAATTAATCAATAAAACAAGTTGGAATGAATGGGAAAACGAATTCTTATTTATTAATCTTAATTTCATAATTTTTTATAGAAAAGTTAGTGGGGTTTTGGGGTTTTGGGG